TATTTGCTATTAGTTCAACCACCTCTGTGTTGGACCCAGGCCTCTTCTGAATAGTTAAAGTGGTCATGAGAGAGATCTCCAACTGGATCCCTGTGATGGTGCACCCTCTACTCAAGAAACCATTTTTGGATTTAACTATCTTAGACAACTACCATCCAGGTGGACTGCAACTGCAGTCGACCCTGTAGGAAGGAAACTACCTATAATCACTTTAGTCAGGCCAAAATTCAGCATGGATATAGTGTTATTCACACTTGTTAAGATTCATGGCATTGCTGGAATGGAAGAGGTGCATCCATCCTCATGCTCCTTGATCTCTCAGAAGCTCTCACTAAAGTTGAGTATGGCATCCTTCTGGACTGATCCCAAGAATAGGGTTATCTTATTCAGGAGTGAAATCCTCCCTGTTTGTCCTGGTTTGGCAAAAATCCCTGGTGGCTCCACCCACGCCCGCCTGGTCATCTTGTTGCCGCTCACCTCTTCCGGTCGCTCGACCCACCCACACAATCCAAACATTTCTCCCTCCATTCACAGCAGAGCTGCTGCAGCCTGTCCCTTTAAAATAGTCCCGAGAGGGAGGGGGCCAGGAGAGACCATAAAGGGAGCAGCATCTCTGCTGTGAACAGTGGGAGAAATGTTTGGATTGTCTCTGCCACAGAATTCAACGTTAAATGCAGCAGAGACAATCCAAACGTTTCTCCCACTGTTCACAGCAGAGCGGCTGCAGCCTGTCCCCTGGGAGTGAGCTGGCCGGGGGGGGGGACCATAAAAGGAGCAGCAGCTCTGCTGTGAATGGACTCATACAACCATTTTTTCCTTCCAAGTTCTGTGGGTGTGGCTTGGTGGTGATGGCATGTGACTGAGTGGGTGTGGCCATGAGTGATATCAAGTTGGTCACACCCACTCAGTCACAGGATCCCACCACCAAGCCAGACCCACAGAACCAGTAGTAAAAAAAAAATGAATTTCACCACGGATCTTATTGCAATGTTTCTCTTCCTCCCTCCAGGAACAGTTCCATGGAGGGGCGAGGGTTGAGGTTGTTCTCTAGGCCTCTTCTTTGTATGATGTCACAGAGTTTGATGTTGCCTCCCCTCTTGTTCAATACCTATGCAGAATCACTGGGGTGAGGTAATAAATACACCAGTTTACGTTTTAGCACTGTCAGTATGCCAATGATGCCCAATTACATGTTTAGATCCCGAGCTGGCAAATGAGACTGTCAATGTCTTTTCCCAGTGCCTGGAGGTTGTGTGGATAAGGAGAAACCAACTTTGATTCAATCCCACCAAGACTGAATGACTGCCATTGTTAGGATCTCCCAGATGTGTTTTTTTCCTTCCTTGCTGCTGGATGTGGTTGCACTTCCACATTCAGGAATGATATTCAATCAACTTCTGTTCAGACAGCAGGAGGCAGCTACAGCGAAGTGGGTTGGGGGTTCAGAACTCCATCTGGTGCCATATTTGCACCCTTTCCTAGACTGGGCAACCCCTCAAGCAGTCACTCATACCATTGTCACCTAACAGCTCAACTACAGGTAGTCCTCAGGTTATGACCATTCATTCAGCAACTGTTTGAAGTTTCAATGCTGCTGAATGGTGCTGAACTAAAGGACTAAAGTGAATTTGTCAATGTCAATGGTGTTCAAGTGCTCTAGCTGTTTTGGAATTGCCCCTGAGGTGCCTTTGACTATTGATACTAACTTTGCTTTCTTTTGCCACGGTCTTTCTATATCTATTTGCAGGTCTTTGTTATGGGCTTTTCCTTTCTGCAAGAAGAATCCACTGTGTACAGTACTATAAAAGCAATCATAGTCTTATCCCCAGGCCTTTTCTCCTCACTATATTTGGTGAAACAGCACTATTGTGCATCTACATTAGCTAGTTGATTTCAAACTCTGGTTTTTTTCTATTTTCATACTTATTTTTTCAGCTTAAATTTTCTTATGTCTAAAGTATACATATAGAGAACAATGCTCCGTAATATTAGTTGGAAGCAAATCCCTTCAGTGTCAAGTGAATCTAAATATGTAAGCAGCCTAAAACTACATAATCAAACATAAGCCTAGCAGACTATCTTGAGATAGGTATTTAACCTTAAGATTACACCGTCAATCTCATATTTAGGTTAAAATTATTTTAGAAAGAATACATGGGTTCCAACTTATTATTATGAATGCTGTTATATTAAGGGCTAGGAGGATAAAAAAAGAGACCAAAATATTTTTCCCTGGAAAGTTTCAACAATACAATGGATGAATAAATCAATGGCAGGAAACACTTACATATGATATGTATGTTTTGGAGATGACATCTACAAATGTAACATTTTCCCCATCTTAAAGGCCTACAGTTGTTTAAGAAAAGGCAGCAGCATCTCTAACTTAGCTTTCTAGTTTTTAAGTAAAAATAAATTGAATTAAATCATAGTCTTATATAAGTCATATCAAGGGATGGACTCCAGTGTGCAGAGTTGTCAGGGACAGTTTGAGTCTTCTGATTCAGAGGCTGAAGATCTTGACCTTGACTGAGAAAGCTCCACCTGAGACCCAGGAATGAAGGAAGTACATCAGAAGAGAAAGAGATACCAGCTGAGTCAGCTAATCCAGTGCCTGAGCCAGACCAGGATTGGAGCCCAGCAACATAGCTCTGCTAACTTGAGCTAATAATAAGGGCTACATACAAGGGATAGCTTTTGTTATTGGCTCTTATGGTCAACAAGATTAGAATTTTCTACCTGTGATTCTGCATGCTGTTGTTGACTACATGAAACCTTGGAATGGAAATGAATTATTCTGGAATCGTCCTGTAATCAAAGATCTATCTCTCCTAACTCTATTACTAAAATTAGGGCTTGGGCCTAGTTTGTGTGTCAGAGGTGGTATTCAGCAGGTTCTGACCAGTTCGTGAGAACCGGTAGTGAAAATTTTGAGTAGTTCGGAGAACTGGTAAATACTACCTCTGACTGCCCCTGCCCCCATCTATTCTCTGCCTCCCGAGTCCCAGCTGATCGGGAGGAAATGGGGATTTTGCAGTATCCTTCCCTGGAGTGGGGTGGGAATGGAGATTTTACAGAATCCTTCACCTGCCACGCTCACCAAGCCACGCCCGCAGAACCGGTAGTAAAAAAAATTGAATCCCACCACTGGTGTGTGTGTGTGTGTGTGTGTGTGTGTGTGTGTGTGTGTGTGTGTGTGTGTGTGTAAAGCCTTGAATTTGCAGGGTTTGGGGTTACTTCAGTAAAAGATTTATGACTGCAATAAATATATTGAGTTTTTTATCCGAAAGCAGCTGGGTGTGTGTAACTGGCAGCATAGGACAATGATGGAACCAAAGACACTTCCACACAATCAGGATTTTCATTTGCAAAACCCTTACAAAACAGTTTGAAACCAACTTGTTATTGATGGTGTATTGAGTTCAAAATGCAGAGAACGTGGTGAAGCGATCAGCACTCGTCTTCTTTTCTTTTAGCTGACCCGCATCTAGGTGATCTTTTGTAGTGGCATCTCCCACTAAGCCATGTTTTTCAGTTCACATATTTGGGTGCATTTGCCTTATAATGAGAAAACAAATCTGACCGATTGCTATGGTGGAAGTGGTGAAAGGGGAGCTTGACTGCAAAAGCAAAGAAGCAAACACATGTATTAAAATGTTCCAAAGACTTCCCAGCTGCCTTGCCATTGTTCTTAAAGGTCCTTAAAGATTTTTAAAGGTCCTTGTCAGTTGTAATAGCATGCCAGAAATTTTGCAGTTGGGTACATTTGCAAAATAGTGCACGTTGCTGTAACAAGCAGGTGGTGGTGATGAGGATAAATTCTAAACAACACATAAAGAGATAAGATCTAGGACCAAAATTCTGAATTTCTATGAAGGATTTAATTAAAAGTGGTTAGCTGTAATCCAATCTGAAAGGCAGGGAGGGAAATGAAACACATACAATGTATGCAGAACTGCAGCAAATCAAAGAAAAATACCCTGCTGCTTACAGAGTCAGAAATAATTTCATCTTCAGCTCTGACAATGCTATAAAATCAGCCTGAGCTGGAACAGATACCAAAGTTGTGTATAGCACTCTTGTATTATTGTTGTTATCCTTGAACACTCACATATAAAAAATAAGTGTTTGAGAGTGTGCCTACTGTAGCTCAAATACCTTTGAACAGGGCTAAGTGGTTCAAGTGCACAGAAATATTGGTCCATATCTACATCAAATAGATGACATCAGTCATATATTCCATTTAACAATTGAATAACTGAAATTATGCAAGGACCCAGTTCTTACTGACACAACTGAAAGAGATTTAGCTTTCTTTGTAGTTAACGATCATCGAATAGATTATCATAAGGTGTTTCTTATTTTGAGTTCCTTCGTTGTTATTTTTTTTAAAGAGTGATTGACACCCCTACCTAGAGTTAATCAAGAGTACACTAAAGATGAGCAGTTTCCTTGTGTGGTGTGTTTGTGCTGACGTTTGGTTCAAACCTGCTTGTTCAATAGCAGGTCTCTCCTCTTTAAAGGCAAGGCTTTCGGAACGTTCAGGCCTCCTTCAGCAATGGACAGCATTCCTGATTAGGCAACCTTGGCCATGCCAGAGATACGTCAAGCACCTGGGGGAAATCTGGCAGGACAAATGGACCTAGCTGCCATTCCACATTATTGGCAGTTCTCTTTTCTGAGCTCCCTCCCTTTACACTGCTTCTGCAGCACTGGCTCAAATAACTTCCCCAGATTGAAGTCTCCCCTTGAAGAATGCCTGGAGAAAACCTTTCAGGAGTATTATTCTGCCCAGTTCTTTTTGTCTTCCCCCTTCCCCTTCCTAGGTACCAATAGTGTGGAATTATTGATAGACAGCCAAGGTCTGTGGGGTGGAGCTGGGGGAGAACAGAATTTCCTGCAAAATTCAATAACAGAAAGCTTGGGGCCGTGAAATCCCTTGCCAGATCTCCTCCTCCTCTTCCTTTTACTCCTTCTGTCTCTTTTTGCTGATTAAAACAATGCCTTACAATCATCCTAGGAACAACCCCAGTGCAATTCCAGAGGTGATGTGGGATTCTGGGCTAAAGGAAATGAATGAAACCTGGAAAGGAGCGATTGCTTGCTTTGGGGTAGCGGTCTTCCTTCTGATGACCATTGGGATTATTTATTGGCAAGTTGTGGATCAGCCAAAGACAAACTGGATCCTGAGAAGTAGTGCCAGTGGTCTGATCTGGGATTGAAAAGATCACAGTCTCATCCTTCAGACTTTGAAAGAGGAAAGAACATTGCTAAAGATTCACATGGGAAGCTTCCCAGATGTGGAGATGCCTTTCATAAAGAACACATGTTGGCAGAATCGGTCTGAATTCTGTTACACCTGGGAAGGTATAGTCGAACTGAAGGTCTTCCTGGACTCCAATCCTTCTCTCAACAGTGAGTGTTACAATATCAACTGGACTCCCCTTCACTGCCAGCTGAAAGTAAAGGTAACGTAATTGTAGCTTTCCTTTATTTTACTTCTATTGTATTCTCTAAATAACTTTAAAACAAGGCAAATTCAGCTGTGGTTATGTCAAGATAGTAATGATAGTAAGGATGTGAAGAAAGAATATGCATTTGACCAGCTTGGAGTTCAGATTGGTAACTACAGTAGTAAACAGTTGCTGCATTGATCTTAATTTTTATTGAGAATATAGAACACCTATATTTCTACTTTTCCCAGCATACAAAGATATTTAGAAAAATCTGAAGGGAGGGATTCTTCTGCATAAATGCTATGAAAATCTGAAGAAGCAGGAGAAAATGGAGAATATAAAACTGGCACTCATGAAATTAAAAATGACAGTTATACTATAATTAAATCCCAAAGTGATTTTAGTGCAGCATTCTGGGTTAATGGAAGATGCTTTTATTCAATGAAGCTTCAAGCAAAGCATTCTCTCAGAGCTGTTTCTTGAAGGAAGGTGGTTCCTTCATTTCTAGGAATGAGGCAACCACTTTATTTCCCTTTCATTTGCTAACTGAACTCTCTCAGCTACTCCAAAGGCTGGAGGATACCAAAATAAGTCTGGAAGGCACCACAAAGTATGTCAACAAGGCAAATTATGTTGCCTCTTTCATTGGATTAAGAGGATCCCATCTCCAACAGTATGAAATTATTGAATCCAAGGTATCTTGCACAACTTAATTGTTGAGAAGATGCTACAAGAAACACATCAAATATGTAAATGTACAAAAATAATGTGTCAAAAATAACAATTGGCCACCAAAGCTAAATGTCCAAATGACAGCAGAAATCTACTTTGCTATATTTACCCTGTCTATGTGTGAAGGCTTTAGATTAAAGTAATTTCAAAACTAGCAGATGTTTTTCTATCGGAACCAAAGTGTAAGAACTGTGCTGCTTTTTGGGCATGCAAAGCTGGAAAAGGTGTGTTTTCAGAGTCATGTAGGGGCTTACATAATCTACAATGAGAAATTAGCTCTCCTTCCAAACAAACATATTAATAATTGAGATCTTGCAAAATGAATATTGCAGCTCAAGATTTTTAATATTTGAGATTAAGGACAATGAGATTGCAATGTTAATTAAGGAAATTTAATGAAAATGAGTTTTGTAATTAACAACCGGTCTCTCTTTTTTCCCCCTTTCCGGTTTCTTTGTATACATTGTCAATCAAAAGGCATTATGTAGAGCTTTTGTCTTTTTCCATAAAAGTGTTGAGAAGAAAGAAAAAGGTGAAAAAGGAGATACCATGGAAAATAGTGAAATACAGAGGCATCTGAATTGCCATACAGTTTCACAGCATCAAAACATGTCCTCAGTTGGGAATTATTTACTAATATGTTAGGCATTGCTGGAAAATAAATTCAAAATTTATGCAGTTTGTGTGAGAAATGCTTTTCCATTCCAAAATTCTGGAAAGACAGCAAAAGAAGGAAGAAATCATAACAGAAATAGTATAAACAGTTGAATAAATTTACTCTATTTTAAGCATGAGGATTATGCTAGGTTAACTTTCATCCATCACAGTGAATCATAGTTCTTTTGTTTTTGTTTTTTAAGAGATCCACCAAATGCAGCAAAAATAAAGTCAAATCTTTTCAGAATCAGATCCTGGTCACTTGGAAGAGACCACACACAAACTCTGAAAGGTCTTGTTATATCTTCTGCCAGGGGGTCTCCAAACCTGGCAACTTTTAAGACTTGTGAACTTCAACTCCCAGAATTAAAGTCCACAGTCCCAGAACTGTCTCAGGGGACTTCCAGCTAGCCAGCTTTCCATCTTCCAGCCTTTTGGATACCAACTTAAAATATGTTTGAGATTGATTTGAGCAATTTTAATACTTTTATAATAGCTTAAGCCAGATGCGACACATGCTGGCCATGCGAATGCCCAGTTTAGCGAAGGGAGAAAAGTCACAATATATCACATGATGATGATGTGACAATGCAAGTTTGACACCCCTGGCCTAAGCTATTTGAATAGCATTTAGAAATAGGACCGTTGTAAAACAACCCTCAATGTTTAAACCTCAACTTTAAATGACTGCAATGATAGAGGACCTAGTCCTTTGAAATCCATACATTCAGATCTGATCTAAGGGCACCCGATCAAACAAAATCCTAGTTGAATCAGGACAGGTATATAGTATATATTACACAATGCATAACTGAAGTTTGGAATTTGATACCACAAAATGTAGTGCTCTCTACAGGTTGGCTGGCTTCAAAAAAATGAATTAGACCAATTCATGGAAGTCACATGGATCAATGGCTATTAGCTTAGCTAATAGCGAAGGCCATCTGCTGGGAAAATAGTGAATTTCTTTGTGCAATTTGTTAGCTACTGTGAGTGTGAGAATGAACTGCTGGACTTGATGGGATGACATTTTTTAGAACACCATTGTTGAGCATGAGTGGTTCATAGAGGTGTTTAACTCAGTATGGTGGACCAATTTTGGGGAAGCACTAAGACATAACAAGGCAACACCAGCCTTTTGTCAAATTTATTAGTAGGCTCTAAGTTGTGTCATTTATAACCGGGTTTGGAGCTGATGGCACTATTCACATTATTCATGTTCATTATAATTATATAGATGGTTGTAAATACAGGAACCTTCTACTGATATTATAATGACCAAGGATTGGTTTGAAGTTGGAAACTGCTCAGGCAAACCCGTTCTCCACATCCTGCTACTTTCTATACAGTAAAGTACTTTGTGGATAACAGGCAAACACCTAACAATGGCAGTGTTCTATAAGAGCCTAGTCAGCTAGCAGCATTTCTGTATGCCAGCTAAACTAAAGAGATTGTACTCTAGTGCTAATTTTAATGACCTTAATTAAAGGGAGCAGAGGATTCAGAAAGAAGTATTACCTCAATCAGTACAGAAGTAATTTTAATATAGGAATTGAACTTTCAGTGCTGTAAATAAATCCTGACAGCCATCTTGTAACATCAGAGAAAGTGGCTTTTCAAGTGAAAGATTATAATTCTCATAATAAGCAGTAAACACAGGAATTATCCCTTCAAGGTACTTATTATTATACACTGCCTGGTTTTTTTATGGCAACATAGTAAATCTTTGTTAATAATATGAGTACAGGATGGATTAATCATATCACATTATATTTTAATTGGCTTACATTGACATATATGTCATTGCCTTCCTCAGCATTTTCTAAATCATATCCTTTGGAGTTCTCTATCATTCTCAATTTGTAATAGCAAAACTTTTGATCCTACATAAGAACAACATATTAATTTTAATGATGTTATTCTAAAGAATCTTGTTAATTATATATTTTTAAAAAAATAAAAAAGGATATTTTAAATTAGATCATTCATAACTGGATTTCAGTTTTACTAAGACTTTTTTCATAATGGGAGCCACAGGAAAATAAAAATACATTGACATTTACTAATATGGTAAAAAAAATCTATTCTCTAATTTCCTAAAGATATTCTTCTCCTACAGAATAGGCTTCTAATTTTTCCACCTCATTCTAAGGATGCTTTTGAATTTATTTTGATAAAAAGTGTGTGTTTTTATTTATAAATATACTCATTATTATAAAGTAGTGAATGGAGGGAGTGGTAGTTGCTATATTTTTCTCCAATTTTCTGCAGCCACTTTGGCTGCCCAATTCATAATCCAATTCTTCATAATTTCCCTGAGGCATAGAAAAATAGGAGAACTGCAGATCACCAGATAGATAATAACTTAGTGAAGAAATTAAGTTTGATAAGAGATTGGTGAAGGTTAATAAATTGAAGTTCATATCAGACAAGTAAAGGGTAGTATTGGTGGGGAAATCATTTGCCCATCTCAGTAGGGTTCAATCTTTTCTGGAAATATTTGCACCCTTCTTGAAAAATGTCTTGCCATGGTTGTTAAGTTACTCGATGCAGTTGTTTAGCTAGTAATTTGGCTTGCTTGTCAAAGGATCACAAAAGGTGATCACGTGACCCAAGACACTGCAACCACCTGGCATGCCAAAAAATACATGCCAATTGCCAAGCGTCCAAATTTTGATCATGTGACAGTGGGGATACTGCAATAGTTGCTCAGTGTCAAAAACAGCCATAAGTTGCTTTTTTCAAAAACAATATGATTATATCATGCCAGAGTTTCATCAACCGCAATATAACCAGTCAATATATGAGCTCAATTTAGTATTTTGGTATTAGTTTTTAAAGCACGTAATGGCTTGGACCAAAATATCATGCTTTTAAGTACTTCTCCCAGCTCTTTATTCATTTAGTGGCCCTCTTCCTGTGCCCTCACCAAGTGAAGGGAGGCAGGAGGCTTCAGGAAAGAGGACCTTCTTCTCCAGTGTATGTGGCCTTGTTTAGAGAGATGTCCTCATACTTTCTGTGACATGTTCATTCTATTAAACCCAGACAGATCATACCCCATCCTCTGAAGCTGATTGTGCTAAAAAATCTCTTCATTCACATACGCACAAGATTTCATTTTTTAAAATCTTGTATTTTGCTCTACAGGATTGCTTTTCCATGGTAAATGTCTCCTGGTATGGAGGAGCCAGTGTCAGTAGTCAGCATTGGCCTCTGAACAGTGTGAACATCAAGTCCCAACCGTTTACTATCAGTAATCTTAGTAAAAACCCAAATGCTTATGGCTCTGTCTTAGAAAGATATTTTTTGGGATCCACCGGTAAGTTTCCTTTCCTTATTTGATTTCCTAAATTGTGTTGTCTAAATACAATAGCACACATAGCTTTGAAAACTTAAGATAAAAAGAACTGGACATTGGGCAAAGTGGAGTACCACAAATTTTTGGATAATTACTTTGTTGTCCTAACTGCAATAGCAGTAGACTTATATACCGCTTCATAGGGCTTTCAGCCCTCTCTAAGTGGTTTACAGAGA